GTAATAGAGGTAAATCAATCACAAAGATGCTAGGGATTAGGTTCCACATGAAATCATGATAGAGGTACTAAATTGGGGTAAATTGAACCAACAAGTGTTGCAAGGACCAATGATAATTGCATTCAAAGTGTTCAAAAGGCTATCTAGACTAATTGCCAAGATAGGTTTCCTATACGGATGACAAACTAGTAGAATCACAAAGCAAACAAAATGAAAATTAACAATCTCAAATCAATTGGTCATGTCATCAAGATTATCAATGCAATCAAGTTTAGAATTCAAGGTTCATTAATCCTCTTATGCTATGCACAAATTCATCAATTAATTTAATTACAACAATCTATTGATCAAAATCCCCAAATCAACATCAAATTACCAATCAAACATGCTTCCCATTCACCCTAGCTAGGAAATCTACTCACTAATCATGATGAATTCAAGAAACAAAATAAAGCTAATCATCATCATATTCATAGTTGCAAATCAAATCAAAAATCTAATTAATCAATCTAATCAAGTTCAAACAAGCAAAATCAAATTGAAATTTCATCAACAACAAGAATTAAAAGCCATAATTAGAAGCAAGAAGTAAAGAAATCTTACAAACTTGAAGATCAAAAGAGAATCAAACTTGAAATGGATTGAATTAAAGATCAAATGATGGAATTTACACTTTCTCTCTGTAGTTTCTCTCTCTAATTAGCCTAACTTATCTCTTTCTAAAAATGCTAAGAATGCGTGTTCTTAAAATTAGGAAATCCGTACATATATATGGTTATAGGAGAAAAAGAGAGAAAATGGGCTAAAATCGCAAAACAGGGGTGCTTGGGCGTGCAGGTCTGCTCGGCCGAGCAAGCAATGTATGCCCAAGAATACCCACACGTTGCTTGCCTGAGCACATCTTGCTTGCCCGAGCTGCTGCTTGCGCGTGAGGGAGACTTGGATGGCTGCTTGCTTGGGCATATATGGGTCGCTTGCCCGAGCTGCTGCTTGCGCGCGAGGGAGACTTGAATGGCTGCTTGCTTGGGCATACATGGGCCGCTTGCCCGAGCAACTTATGTATGCCCGGTACAGATTCAAAACTTCTACTCCAATGCTTGGGCATGCAATCTTTGCCCAAGCAACCTTGAATTGACTTCTAACTTGGTTTGCTTGCTCTATGACTTCCCGGACTTGGTTTGGTTGACTTCCAAATCTTGTTTTGGGCTTCCTCCTCGACATTTGAACCTCAGAAGATCCCGACACACCTACAAAACAAATCAAACAAAATGGAAAGCAAGAGAATAGCAAAGAAATGCATAAAAAAGGATAATAAAGCCGATAAAAACATGCATTTCTCTAGATTAACACATAAGCACGCGAAGCAAGCATTATTACCTAAAAACATGACATAAAAGGACAAAAATGAGCATAAAACTATGAAGGAAACTACCCTATGAGTGCCATAAATGACACTCATCAAGTCTGGATCCTAAACGAAGGACAAAAAGATCAAGCATAGGGATAGCAGCAGATGAGCCTAGAAGCTTCTTATAGATGCCAACAATTTCATCTGAGATGCTAACAGGATGAGAGAGAAAAGTACCAGAATCATTATACAGAGCTAAAATCCTGTTAATATGCCATCTTTGCTTCACATAAGGAAAAAAGAACTTGCTATTAGAATCTCCTGAAGCAAGCCATCTTTTCGAGATTTTTGTCTCCAAGCATATTCATCAATAGACATCCATATCTTCAGATTCTCAAGACATAGTTTCTCCTGAACATGCAGATTTTTCAGAGTTAGGAAGCATAATGAGTTGACTTTGAATACCATCCAAATCCCGCTAAGCTTGAGAAATTCTCATTTCAATATTAGCAAATTCTATTTTATGCAAATCTTCTAAAGGCTTCTGCAATCTCTTCAATTTAGCCCAAATCTTCTAGAGATGAGAGCTTGCACAATCTTCATTCCAGCTAGCAATACAATTTGCTCAAAACTATGGTGCTCACACATAGAATTGAAGGAATTATAAGGTCTTTCACTAATACGAATCTCAACTCCACAATCAATGAGCAAAGGAGAATGATATGAAACTAAAGGGTTAAGATAGTTAACCTTAACACTTTCCATCTCTTGCATCTAGAAAACATTCCCTAAAGCCCTATCAATCCTGCTCTTAACTCTTGTACTTCCCAAACCTTTACTAGTCCAAGAGAAATAATGGCCAACGCTTTGAAGCTCAGCTGACCTAGTAGAGGTAAGAAATAGATCAAAATAACAAGTCTCAGCATTAGAAACAGGATTGCCACTAACTATATCATAAAAGTGTAACACAACTTTAAAATACCCACACATAAGCCATGTAGCATCACTACAAGTAGCATCAAAACTCCTCAGAACAGTCCATAGAGACTTCCTAGTGTCTATAGTATGCAAGCCATAAACAACAGAGAAAAAGTGCAAAACCATCCCATTCTGATCAAACACTTCACAATGAATGAATTGCTCATGTATTTAAACACATTTAACATCCATTCTCCCGGGCATCCATCCAAGCCATGTTCTACCTCTAGGACTGAAATTATAGTTGTTAATCCAACACCAATCTGTACTGAATTTATTTCTAATTTTCTGCTTATTTTTTTCTTTAACCTGAGTCTCCAAAATAGCAAGCACATCTATGTTATATTGAGTCATTAAATTCTTTACTCCACTAACTTTAGAGGGATCATTTAGCCCTCAAATGTTCCAAGCACAAATAGTCATTTAACTGTAAAATCATCATAAACATCCTCATGCACCATATCTTCTTCCTTATCCTCTTCATCATCAACTTCAGTATCAGACACTACATTTTCTTCATTATGTAGGATGGCAAAGTTATTCTGAATTAGAGTCTCAACTACAACTTCTTTATCCATACGAACCTCTTTTGTTTTCCCAATCACTTTCCAGCCCACGTCATCATTAGAATGTACAACTAAAGTTGTATCAACAAGAGTGACATTCTGCTGGACAGTAGGAACTTCAACTGGTTTTTTCTTTGGAACCCCTTTCTAAACCACCTTAGGTGGAGGAGGAGCTTTCTCTAGCTTCCAGAAATTACAATTATGGCCAACCATATTACATTTCACTCAAACGAGGGTTGCCAATCATAAACAACTTTTTGCTCAAATTCCACACCATCTAGATCAGCAACCTTCACACATTTAGGTAGAGGTCGAGTAACATCCATTTCAATAAGAACTCTAGCAAAAGAAACACGAAATTGCTGAGATGTGCATTCATCAGCATACATTGGAACACCAAGAGCACTACTGATTCTACTAACAGAATCAGTACCCCAGCAATTTAAAGGTAAACTAGGGAATTTCACCCATATTGGAATCACCTTTAATATCTCACCATGAAAGTCAAAATTTGCAGACCACTGCTTAATAATTGCTGGTTTTCCATAAAAGAAGTGTGGCCCTGCATATAGAATTGAATTCCTATCCTCAACATACTCAAAACGAATCACAAAGTACCCATCATTGTGTTGAAAAATAGAGGGTTATGTTACCCTTTTCCATTCCGAAGCCGATTAATCGATGCAATAATAGGGGTCTCACCTCTAACATACATCACTATTGCATTCAACCACTTTTCAGTACATTTATCAACCTCATCCTTCTGCAGCTACGCAACATGAGTACCATTCTTAACCATGGGAGAAACAAAAGTTAAGAACATACCCTTTTGCAGCAAGCTTGTTGTTCTGAACCTTCCCACCCCAACTATCATTGTTACCAAATGGTTCAAAATTTGCATTCCCCATATTCAGCTTTCTATACATTGATAGTTCGAGATGAAGAGGAATAAAGGTTACCTGCAATTTCTCCAGCATCCCATAGAGGAGGTGGTAGAAGAGAAGATTCAATTGCTTAATCGCTTCCACTAATCGAACTGGCACCGGACCAGCGCTGGGATGGACAAGTGAAGGATCTGAAATGACCATAGGTTCTGGATCTTCCCCAAACTCAGTTCTCACTAATGGAACAATGTTCGACGAACTAGGTTCCACCTTATTTCCTTTCCCTGCAAATCTTGAGACCCTAGTACCGTAGATGACATATGAGGTGATTTCCTATTATTCGATGAGATTACCACTAGATTAGCCTTCTTCTTCTTCCCCATCAATGGAGATGGCATACAATAGCGAAACACCTTATCATGCGCTGCTCACCATAGAGAGAGAGAGAAAATTTATTGGAATCACTAACTTTGCAAGGCTACAAAGTTTCTATAATTCAATCAAATTTTATCGATAATACAGATATTACTTCCTCCGTTTTTTAAAGCTAGAGTGCTTCACTTTTCTTTTGTAGTCGTATTTTTAAAAAGTGGTCCAATTCTTTTTTGGAAAATTATAACAATATTTTATTAATTTCTTCCCCCGCTAGTGATATCCATATCATATTTTAATCTCGGCAAAAGTTAACGAATGCCCAAGGCGTTGGATAAGATAACTAAAAGTAGAAATATTTAACTAAAATGAATATTAATTACATCGATCAACGCGTGATTTTGGCATGCATTCCCAAATTAATATTACTTTAGGAAGTATTTTAAATGCTTATGTAACGTCCCGGGACATTCGTTAGCAAGATCCATCAATCTCTATAGATTCTCTCTCCTCCTTACTTATATCTAGTTTTGACTTTTCAGTTTTTAAAATTCTTTAACGTATTCCACTTCACTTATAAAATAATACTTTCAATAATCCTTTTAAAACTACATACTCGAAGAAAAGTGGTTAACTACATACTCGAAGAAAAGAACACTTTTTAAAATACGGAAGAAGTACACTTTTTAAAAGATAGGAGTTGTATTTAAATGAACCAAACCATGTACTAATCCTTGTTCAAAATGTATGTCATAAAATTCGTGAAATGAACAAACCCATTTACCCGTCCAAGTTCCATATGCTGACTTTATTACTTACCAAAGTGGTGGCCCATAATTATTGGTCATCCCCTACAGCATCCCCATTTCTCAATCCATAGATTAGATTCCTATAAAACGGCAAACACAATCAGAAGCAACAACAACAAACAACACTTTTGTACTTTAAACAAATTCTATTTTCAGATTCAAAAGCAGTAAAAATTTAATTATGGCATGGAATTCATTTCCCTTGGAAATCATTTACCAGATATTTGGATGGATTGCTTTCTTCTCTTGGTCTATCAGTTTCTACCCTCAAGTTATTCTCAATTACCGTCGTAAAAGGTTTGTGATTCCTCTTTTTGTTTCTTGTATAATCATGTTTAATTGATTTGGGCAGTGATGTAAACGAGATTTGATCCCACGTCTTTGACGACATTTGGTTAATCGTTTAAACTTATGGTGCAGTGTGGTGGGGTTAAACTTTGATTTTGTGGTGCTGAATTTGACAAAGCATAGCACGTATCTTATTTACAATGCCACCCTTTACTTCAGCTCGGTTGTTCAGAGGCAATACCGCGACAAGTATGGCCGTGACGAGGTGATAAGTTGATAATTCTTTCTCTCTTACTCATTTTGATTCCGGCATGGTTGATTCATCATTTACATCTAATGCCAGTTGGGTGTCAATTCGGGTAATGGTTCAGTTTGGGGTTAGGTTTATCGGTTTCGGGTTATAATAGGTCGGTCGGGTGACCACTCTTTCTCTCTTGTTAAATTGCGGCATGGTTCATTGTAGTTGTTAAATTGCATCATTCAAGTAATCAAACATTTCCCCCAAAAATTTATAACGAATAGAAAAGCATATATAAAAAAAAGTAAAAAATTAAAGACTTACGGTTAAATACGGGTTTGGGCTACCACAAATTAAGAGAGAGAGTCCATCCCAGAACCATATGGCAATAGGAGGTTTAGCCGGTTAGTCTTACAAAGTGTTTAACTCTTTTTTATTTTATCAATGTGGGACTCTTACATGTGTTATTTGGTGGGATATACTTGAACACTTACCTTTACTTTTCAGAGGAGAAGTGAATTTGGTAGTAGTTTGGAAGTGACAAGATGAATCAATAACGACAGTGAATCTAGGATTAGTGGTATAATTTGGAATTTTAGATAATTTTGTAGTTTATGCCAATTTTTGCAATTGAATATTAGATAGTCTTGTAGCTTACGCCGGCAGCTTTCTTTACACTTGCATAAAAAAAAAAAAAATTATAATCTGTTTAAGGATATGCTCAAAGGTAGGGGTGCTAATCCAGCGAGGCAAGCCCGAGCTATGGTCAACTCGGCTTCATTTAAGTTTGTTCAAACTTGAGCCGAGCTCGAAACTTTAAGAGTTGAGCTTTGGCCAAAGCGTTGACTGAGCTGAACTCGAAGAATTCACGAAAATACTAAATTATAAAATTTTGCGACGAGTCTATTTTTCAATAATCAAAATACTAACTTATTACAACGTGTTTTTTGTGTGGCTGGTCATATCGTGTAGTCGGCTAACACACACCAAAACACGGGTAACTCCGAGAGTAATGCTTGACCAAGTAACCTTTAACCAAGTAATCCCTGACCGATTGAGTAACCCCTCACCAATTAATGCCGACGATACGGTGTGGCTAGCCATATGAAACTTTGTGAACTTATTATTGTGCAATATTTAGAATAAATATATTTATGTTGATATACATACATGGAAAAGATTAATTGAGCTTATTCACGAACTTTTGAAGCCGAGCTTTGTATAACTCAACTCAACTTATTAAGATCGAGAGCCGAACTCAAACCTGAGCCAAGCCACCACGGATCGAGCTTTAACCTTGAACGAGTTGAGCTCGAACCGGTTATGAACAGGTAGGCTCATTATCACCCCTAGTCAAAAGGTTTACAGAAAACCATAGGATGGGGTCAAAATGAAAATTTTATACTTATCTAGAATAGTTCGAACAATGTTGTAGTGTGTTATATGGTAAGTCGTTGAGATATTATCAATTATTTCTTAAGATATGAGATAATAGAGTGTTATTTCATTGAAAAAATAGATGTGACATAAGATAGTTGGGTATTACTTTTATTGAATTAGAGATAGTGGAGCCCGGACTTTTTGGTAGTGAAGTATTAGTATTTATTTGAGACAAATGAAAATGGAAAGTGTTTGAATGATTTATAGTAGCACAACAACCTACCCCCTCCTTTACAAAAGAAAATAGAGGAAATAGATGGACAACTTATCTGTAGTACTATATATAAAGAGAAACGGTTTTTTGGGTGATAAATTTGGCTTTTTCTAAAATGCCCTTCTCAATTTCCAAATTTACTAATTCACATATTTTTTTTAGATAACACTTTATTTTGTTCATTTTTTTCCCTCTATAGAAAAAAAAAAAATTGTTATTTAAAAAAAAAAAATCTTAACTACTCATAACTGAGCATTTTTTTTTTTTAACATTTCACAATATATTCTTTTTCCAAAAATTCATGCTCTTTATTTTTTTTGTTTTTAATGTTTTACAGTAAAAAAAAATGTTGGGTAAATTTTATCTTTTATTCTTTATGGTAAATCAAAAATTTATAAAAGTACTTCTAAAATTCTGTTAAATTTTACTATAATAATCATTGTTGAAAAAAAAAAAAAATCCAAGACATGAGTACCAACAATTTCTTTTTAATCTTTAATTTGTTGGGATCGCGAGAGGTAGGGGAAGACCTTAAAATACTTAGAAGAGGGTGATTGAGAGTGACATGAGTGCTTTCAGGAAAATATAGTGTGTTGGATAGGGTGGTGTCGAGCTTAGGGAGAAAATTCACATCAACGACATATCGTAATTACATGTATACTTTCTAATTTTTGGTATTTATTTTTATTAATTTATCCCACTAATGTTTTATGAACTGATATCCTTTGATAAAGTTTTCTCAAACCTTTATGTTTTTTACTCCAATGTTTTAACCACTCCTTGAAAACTTTCTTAAATATTATTATTGGTTCTCTTTTAAAACTTCCTTAATAGTTTTTTCTCACTTTACTCACCTTTTTTCAAACTTTTTCAAATAATTATGTTGTTATGTCCTTTTCTTTATATCGTGCGGTTTTTTATGACGATTCATGTTAGCTGACCCCAAATTATTTTGGGAGTAAGGCTTTGTTGTTATTGTTCTTGTCCTTGTGCCAAAAACAGGTTTTGGATCGATCTTCCCTATAAAAAAAAAAAAAAAAGGTTTTGGTTCGATCTTGTTTTCCTCTTGATGATTATAAGCAATAGCATGTTTGTTTACTTTCATAATTTGAACCTTAGCTAAAATATAATATTAAGCCTAAAATTCTCAATGGTTGTGATTTTATTAAAAAGTGTGGCTTAATACTACTTTTTATTTTGGAATTGGACTTGTGCTAGACGACAATGAAATGCTTCATCTTATACTCGTACAACTAACACTCAATTCCAATGTTTGTTCTTTTATGTGACAATTCCCTTTTATTTCTTCTAAACATTTATGAACTTATTATCCCTTATGACTCTTACTTGTAATTATTGGCCCTTAGTTGAACTTAATTTAGTTGTGAATTCTCGCTACAACCTATATTAGTTTTTACACTAATCATGACACATAATTTTAGGTAATAAGTTGTTTGATTAGAGATAGTGAGTGTTGTGTTGTCGAAAAGTAGATGTGACAAAAGATAATGAAGTATCTATTTATTGAATGTGGAGTAATAGTTGTAGTGCCGGAAAAACCAAATATTGACTTTTAAATATATAACTAGATCCTGTATGTGATTCCTTGTAAATGTAATTTTGTTTTTGTCCCTCCACCTTGTCATCTATAGTGTGATCTTTGGCTAATACACATGTTGCAGATGATTCCTGTAGCTGCGAATGATGTTGCATTCTCCATACATGCTGTTCTATTGACAGCATTTACATTGTTCCAGATCTTTATCTATGAGGTAAGTAGCATCTTCTGCATGTTTAAATTTTCATGATAGATTCTTTTTTGAGTTACTACCATGTTTTCTATAATATATTTTCGAATTTAATATTTGTGCCTATTCTCTCTATAGCGTGGAATCCAGAAAGTCTCAAAGATCTCATTTACACTGGTTATTGCTGCATGGGGTATTGCTGCAGTGTGTGTATTTATTGCTTTACCAAGCCATTCTTGGCTTTGGCTGATCACCGTCTTCAAGTAAGAATTTTTTTTTTTTAATTATGTGAATATGTCCTGCTGTATATGCTTGCTTTTATCTTATGTAAACTTAAAAGGGTGATATCAGATAAGCAGGTAATTATTTTCTAGCCAAGAAATATATTGGTTTTAAAAAATTATATTAGGATGAAACACGGCAATAGCAAGGAATATATTGGTTTAAAAAATATATATTGCGTTCAAAGAAAGCATGCCAATCAATCTGGGACATTAGTACAAATAGAAACATATACCAAAGGAGTCTACTTTGGTTGGCTCCAGAAGTTCATAATACTTAAAATCTAGCATTTAACAGAATTTCTTAATTGAAATGTTTATGTAGTTTGTTGGAGGGGTTTAATTGTTATTAATTTATAATTAAGTGGTAAGCTTTTCTAATAATTTCTTGAGGAAGAACATAGCAAGAGAATTTTGTTTTACCTACATAGATACAAATTCTGCGTTTATGCCTTTATTCCTGAGTGATAAATTTCTTACTTAAATGAAAAATGTCTTGCACATCATGGATGTCTTTGAGTAACTTTTTGTTTTTATTTTTTATTTTTTATTTTTTTTTTTATAATTTTATATATTCATTGAAAATAGTGTTGTTCCGCTGAATTTTTCTGAATATTATTTGAAGGACCTAGTAATGTAGTTAGCTTAAGGTTCCAAATTATGATGTCATTTTCTTGGTATGTCATGTCTCCATAAAAATTTCACCTTCCATTTAGAGCCATAGCAATGATTTTGGGGCCATGTTCCAAATCGAAAAAGGGGCCCTTAATAATTTGAAAATTATACATTTTTTTTTATCAATAATTTAGGCAATGCACAATTTCCCTATATATACATTACAAAATGAAAATGCTTTCGTATAACAATGATATATTTAATTACGCAAAATCAAATTTGGATATTTTATTCATATTGATAATAGCAACTAAATATAACTCAAAGCTTATATCAACTCGACTTATATTAACTTCTATTTATATAAAAAGTAATATTCTTCTAACGCTCTTTGAGGCAAAATCATCAATCAAGTCTTCATATTCCACTTTCTCTAGAAGATCACTCTCAATTGCTATCATCGCCAATCTATTTAGTCTTTCTTGTAGCATTGTAGAACGAAGATATGACTTTAATAGCTTCAACCTTGAAAAACTTCTGTTTTCAGTTGCAACTGTCTTGAAAATCTATTTTTAGGACATTTCACAAGCCAATCCCTATCATATTTCTCACTCTTAGATAGAACTCTAGTATACAAAATAGCCATAAATCGTCTTGAAAATCTATCTTTAGGACCTTTCACAATGGAATTATCTTTTCTAAGACCATTTTTCACTAATAAATCAATCATATTAGAATCAAGACCATCCCAAACTCTTGGATCATATATATTAGGCATATAACTAGTTTCATAATGATCAACACTATCATTATCAAAACGCATATCATCAATATTTTTAGCATTATTATCATTCTCAATAGGCACATCATTAACATTGCAATTAACACTAGGCAAATCATCAAAATATTACCCACATCATCAACATTCTCGCAATAGGCCTATTAATAATGTTGACGGTGATGATATTGATAATGTTAATGTTGATCTTGTTAGTGATATGCCTATTGCGGAGAATGTTGATGATGTGGATAATATTTTTGATGATGTGCCTAGTGCTAATTGCAATGTTAATGTTGTGCCTATTGAGAATGATAATAATGCTGAAAATATTGATGATATGCCTTCTGTTAATGACAATGTTGATCATTATGAAACTAGTTATATGCTTAATATATATGATCTAAGAGTTTGGGATGGTCTTGATTCTAAAATGATTGATTTAATAGTGAAAAATGGTCCTAAAAGAGATAATTTTGTTGTGAAAGGTTCTAAAGATAGATTTTCAAGACGATTTACGGCTAACTTGTATACTAGAGTTCTATTAAACGCTGAGAAATGTGATAGGGATTGGCTTGTGAAAGGTACTAAAGATAAATTTTTAAGACAGTTGCAACTGAGAAAGAAGTTTTTCAAAGTTAAAGCTATTGAAGTCATATCTTCGTTCTACAATGCTATAAGAAAGACTTAATGGATTGGCGATGATAGGCAATTGAGAATGATCTTCTAGAGAAAGTGGAATAAGAAGACTTGATTGATGATTTTGCCTCAAAGAGTGTTTGAAGAATATCACTTTTTAAATATATATAAATTAGCTTTGCATTGTATTTAGTTGCTAGTATCAACATGAATAAAATATCCGAATTTGATTTTGCGTAATTGAATATATCATTGTTATACCAAAGCATTTTCATTTTGTAATGTGTATATAGGGAAATTGTACATTTCCTAAATCATAGATAAAAAAAAAATTGTATAATTTTCACATTATTAAGGGCCCCTTTTTCGATTTGGAATAGGGCCCCAAAATCATTGCTACAGCCCTGAAGGGGCAGGATTAGGACTAGGGACTAGGGCAATCACTGGAAGTATTGAGTTTCGTTAACCCTTGATGAGTGATTCATCCTGCTTGTCATGCATGTCATCCTATGTGGCTAAGATTGTCTTCTAGTGATTAAAGCTAGTGAAGAATTAGATCTAGATGTTTTAAATGATATGTGAGGATTTAATTGGGAAATGCAATGGTTGATGTGGAGAATCACTTGATATTTTAATTAATTTTGAAGAATATACCATTTATCTTTGTAAAACAAGGGCAAGATGAAATGCTAAATCAAGGTTTAAAAGTAAGACTTTGGTGTTGTTTTTTTTGGTTCTTGGATTTATATGAAACTGAGGAGTTTTATGAACTTGCGTAATGAACCAGCCTTATGATGGGTATAATTGGAACTGTACAATGAATCTTGAGAAAAAAGGTATCAGTTAGAGGGAAAGGGAAATCAGGAAGTCTAAATTAATAGGTTCTTCGGTTAAATTAACCATTTTAACAAAACTATTTCTCAATATAACTACTTTTAAATTCTAATACCTTTTCTTATCAAAATATTGACATGGGGAGCAGTTGAATATTTCATTGACTGCATTTTTTTTTTTTTTTTCATGTTGAATTGGCTTGGTTTTTATTTATTTATTTATTTTTCGATACTACCAAACTTCCACTATCAAAACTACAAAGTTTTTAAGAAAATACCAGCAAAATGTACATTTAATATTGTTTATATAAACTACACTGATTTCCTCAAAAAAAAAAAAAATATTAACTACACTGAAAAACTCTAGCAGTTATCAAGCTCAGTCTTCAACGTGTAGGTTAGATGTTGCAACCAAATTGATTTGAGAACAGTTGGAAGAAACCTTAAACAAATAAATACATAAATAAAATCTTATACATAGCATACCAAAATTACCTACCTTAAAATGATTATCGAGCATGGAAGAGCACAATGCCACCATAGTATTTTATCAGGCTGCAAATACATGAGTGTTCTTCAAATTTGCATTTTCTACTTAACTAGTAAAGTAGTCTAACTTAATACGTAATAATTGATAAAATCGAACAAAAAGCACTCATATGTACAGGGTGGTGCTGGTTGCACTCAGGCTATATTTCAGGGTGTTTAGACCAATTTTGCTATTAGTTTCTATAATTTTTACTTATCAATCTTAATAGGGGTAGAATTGGAATTGCACAACAATTTAGCAACGAAGCTTGAGGAAAAACTCAAAAACTAATTTAGAGGGAAAGGGGATTCAGGAAGTCTATATTTCACGGTGTTGAGGCCAATTTTGCTATTATTTTCTATAATTTTCATTTATCAATCAAGATCAACATTTCTTGTTCATCATTTAAACAACCTTAATTGGGGTCGAATTGGAATTGCACAAAAAACTCAAAAACTAATTTAGAGGGAAAGGGGATTCAGGAAGTCTCTATAATTAGAGGGTGGGAAGTTTATTTTGGTTTTGTACAGTTAACTTTGTAAGAGAGGCTAGTCTCTCAAATGCTTAAAATTCATCTTTAATTTTCTGTAATGTTCACATTATTGATTAACATCGCCATTTCAAGCTTTCAACATTTCTTCTATATGGTGGCTGCTAAAGCTTGCCAATGACTTAAGAGTTGTGCACCAGTGATAAACTAATTCGCTGTTGGAACAACTCCTCACAGGCTTAACATGTGCTAGGAACTTATCAAAGGCTCAAGTTCAGGTGTCCACTTAATATGCTAACTTTGACCCCTTAGCCTAGGTTTTTACTCATATTAGGTCTGTTGGACGTCTGATCCTCCTTCAAAGATGAGTTTGATTTTTTATTTATTTATTTATTTTATTTATTTTTTTATTCTCTCAATTTCAAACAAAAAGTTCCAGTCCTCTAAGTTCTCATACTTTTGGAGCTCTATTCGGCACTTTCTCAAGCATCAAATTGTGTTGTATTCACTAAACATTGAAGCATAATGTATTAGTCAAGATGATATCATTCAATTAGAAGCTAAATGAAGAGAGTTGTGTGTGCTTTTTATCAAACATGCTAATGACAGAATCTCTGGGTTTGGCCATAGTCTCATGCTTCCTAAAACATGCAAATGACTGATTCTCTAGATTTGGCCAATGTCTCCCATATCCTTAAAAGTCTCAACCCACTTTCCCATGATATCTTAAACTCTAGATTGTGTTGAATTCCTTAGAATTATAGGGCCATGGTTAGATCCTTGTTGCCCCCTTCTTTACAATATAGTTTCAAAGTGCTATAATGGTTGTTCCAAAAGAAGCTACTTTTATCTTTTCAACGTGATAAACTTACTTGTTTCCTCATCAATGATTGGTTGTTTGGAATTTGGATTGGACCAGTGGTAGTGTGTAGCTTTTTTTTAGTTTTGGTCATATTGTGTGTACCACAATTGAGGAAGCTAAAGACTAGTATGAGAAACTATATATATGTCTTAAACTGATTTACTTCCAGAGTTCCAGGTAATGTATATCACCAGGTACAAACAAACTTTCATATTACAGTAGGATTTTACTTTGACACTCTTTATTGATGGTTGTGTACAGCACTTTTTTACCTATTTAAATTTGCATTTAGGTGTAGATTGGAATCGACCACATTACCATTTCATTGTTGAATGATTTGGCTTCTGTCGTTAACTTCTCCAGCTCTTGTAGTTGGCAGCTAGATATAATGTGCAACGGTGTTGTTATGCACACATTATTCTGTGACCGAGTGTTTCAGCATTTTAATCAGGATATAATCATGTATTAACCCCTAATGAATTTTGAAGGGTTTCGTTTCAGTGTTGATTCTTATTATATTATGAAGACAAGTGGATTACATATTTTTTCCCTATAAAAGATACATGTATGCCATATTGCTTCTTGTTGTGGGCTAAATACTCAAAGCATTTGTGGAATGATAACTTTATGCAAACTCTCTGATCCCTTCATAACATGATTACCTTTTTGTTTTAATATTGCAGCACTATTCAGGTTACCATGACTGTCATTAAATATATTCCCCAGGTTGGTATTGGCTTCTTTAAAATTGTCTTGTATTTCCGTTGATGATTTGATCTTTTATCTAAACTGTGATGTTGTAAGTCTTAGAATTAACATGATGTCCAGTAGTCATAGATTAACTGATTTGGCCTGTTCTAGGAAAGATTAAAGGTAATAATGTTAGGGGCAGGCGTCGAATGCAAATAATCTACATCCATCTAATCTTGTTTAAAAACCTGATTTCATATACATGTTGCATCAACTCCTTGAGTTACTAGCTTTTTCACATAGTTAACCACCCTGACAGTATTAGCCTCCCTCCATAGTGTTGTTACTGCTGTACATTGAAAGGGATGACAACCTGATTGCTTGTTCACTACTACACTTTTACCATACTTTATTTTATAGTATACTCGTTTGATTAATTTCGAGGAAGAGTTGATTGTTTCAACATCTATGGAGGATCAGCAATAGCTCTTGCAGTATGTAAAATAAGTGTTGGACAGTATCTGTGTACCATATTTTCTTTCCTGTTGCATTGGTTTATTCAATTCTAATTTTTGAAATTTTGAAAGGGTACTCAGTCTTTTACTTTTTTGGAATTTAGGCATTTATGAACTTCTATAGGAAAAGCACAGAAGGATTTAGTATAGGAAATATTTTACTTGATTTTCTTGGAGGGGTGACAAACTACGGACAAATGGCTACCCAGTCTATCGATCAAGGTGAATTTCTTTTTATAGCAGTATATTGTTTTTGCAAATCTAAATTTATCTCGTAAAGTTGCCAATTTATATATTTTAATCTTTTTTTGCCTGTAGGTTCTTGGGTGAATTTCTATGGAAATATTGGGAAGACACTGCTGTCTCTTGTATGCGGTCCATCTGATTTCACGCCTTCTATTTACTGATCTATCTTTACTTTAAAGCAGTTTTCTGATGTCAAATTGTCATGCAGGTGTCTATCTTCTTTGATCTCCTGTTTATGGTACAACACTACGTGCTATATCGCAATAAGCCAATCCATCGTTCTTCTAAGTTGGATGAGGCAAACGACGAGGCACTATTGAAAAGCTCAGATCTAGCAACGTCTGACCTCCCCTAAAGCAAGAACTGGGATGTTCTGCTGCATTGATGTAACCATGAGTATGTTAAACATGATGGGTCTAAATCAAACGAGAACTTTATATACATTGATTGCCCAAAATGCTCTCCTATCTACAAACTACCTCATTCAAGGAACTCCCACACCACAGTATTTTTTATTCAAAAATTGTAGAACATCTAAGAAAAATTGTACATACTGTAATTAGCTTTTCAATTTGATAGTGTAAAAATGTTGGTATCCAGCATTCTAGTTTTAATACAATATATACAAGTTTGGAAGGAAATAGCAAGGGTTTTCATTTACCATATCTATTTTCTAGGTAACTAATGAATTTGTACAACCTCCATTTTTCCAAGTCTTACTCACTTTCCGTTTTCATTTATTTTCTATGTTTTATTTACCTGTACTTTATTCCTTTAATGACAACTTTTCATTTATTTTTTATGATCCATAACCTCATTTTGTGGAGCTTAATTTTATTTAATAAATTTTTTACTCTCTATCTCTCTCTTCTTTATTACAAAAGTACCCACATGTATGATCTTCATTTTTCCTTTTTCTTAGTTTGCGTAGCTATAATAACTGAGTAAGATTTAGCAAAATGGAAGTAGTAATAGAAATGATTAAATGATTCATGAAAGAGATATCATTAAGGGGGCATTTGGTTCGCAGAGTGGTATGGGTTTGGAATCAGGAATGGGCTTAAGGTGGTATCGAGTTGGAACTTGATACTTAATACCATGTGTTTGGTTTAATTCTGGAATGGAATCTCTCACTATTCCCTCCTTTTTTTTGATACCTAAGGGAATGGAATGAGCCAAACCCACCTTCCCCCAAAGATTTCTAAATCCTATATCTCATGGGTTTGAGGTATGGGTTTAAAATTCATACTTTTGACAACCAAACATATGGTATGGGTTTTAGTCATTCCAAACCCATACCTCATACCTATATTCCGCAAACCTAACGCCCCCTAAATAGGGTTATTTGGCACTAACAATCAACCTGTACAAGATCTAAATTCTCAATAAATATTAAACACCCAAAGACAAATGACATCACTTTAGTTCTACTCTTGAATAATGTTAGGGAAAGTATTGTGTTAGTTTGACCACATAAATATGATTCTCCTCATCTCTTCTTCACGGGAAATTCCCTGTTTCTAATAGTGAGAAACGAAATTTGTTTCTCATGGGGGCATTTTGTTTCTTACTATGAGAAAGTGGGGCTCCCTCCTTCTTCACCTTTTGCAATAACAATGGAGTTTACCATTTTCCTCTCCAAACCCCTTCCCACCACCATCAAACCACCACTCTCTCTCCTTTTAAACAACCCCAACCGCCATACAAGGCCGTCGGAGTTTTTTACGGATGTGCTCTCTTGGGTACTCTTCAAGCTCACAATGTCGACGGTGATGACTAGGTGGGCAAAAGTCATATTCATTGAAGAACCTAAATTTGAAAGTTACTCCTTTGTTATTCTTCTTAGTCTTTCAACATATTTCTATGAACCATTACTTGTCCACCAACCCCAAAATACCTTCTACTAGTAGTAAGGAATACAAGCGATACTAATCAATTATTCAATATGATCTCATCTCACTACCATTGTGTGATCATAATATTCTTTGTGCCTTCTTTATGCCCCTTTTGTGTTTGCTTTTGTTTGACCCGTTGCAGGAGCCCTATGAGTGGTTCAAAGGCACGTTCATACCTTAAGGAAGCATAGGAGCTAGCAAAGGGGAGACATAAAGGCTAAGGGCATGCTTGGATTGGGGGTAATATATGAAGGGGGTAATAAAAGTCAAATTTGAAAAAACATAAATAATTAGAGGTGTTGTTGTAGGAGGTATGATGCTTACAAATGAAATAAGGTAATGAAGAAAAGAGAGAGATGGAGGAATTATTACCCTCATAATGAAGGTAATAGTTACACATAAAGGTGTGCATCGTGCCGTGCCGTGCCGCCGCGGGCCACGGTCTCCGGCGTGTCGTGTCGTGCCGTGCCACCGTGCCAGAGTAGGCGTGCCGTGCCGTGCCGCCCAAAGTCGCAGGCCAGCCCACGGCACGACACGGCCCACGTGCCAGGAGGGCTCGTGCCGTGGGCCTGGTGGGCTGGCACGCTGCTGGCCTGGCGGGCTGGCCTGCTGGGCTGCTGCCTTTCCTTCCTTTTATTTATTTATTAATAGTTTATAACTTATAATCTTATATTATTATTTTTCTAAAATAAATTAAGTTTAATATTTATGTTTTATTATTTTTTATATTTAATATTTAAATTTATGTATTTAGTTTATACTATCACTTTATATTTTAATGTTTATAATTTATTACATTTATTTTTGTATTATTAATTATTTATTATTATAATTTTATTTTTGTTATATTAATTTACAAATTATAACTTAACGGGAAAAAAAGGCAAATTGGACTTTGGATGTGAATAATGCATACTTCATATTATTATTACTTGAAAAAATTGTACAATGATAATAATGATAAAAATCGTACAAGGATATTAAACAAAAATTGGATAATGATAAAAATCGTAAAATGATAATATTGATAATGATAAAAATCGTACAATATACAAAAATTGTCTTCTTCTTCTTCTTCTTCTTCTTCTTCTTCTTCTTCTTCTTCTTCTTCTTCTTCTTCTTGTGCGTCTTCGTCTTCTTCTTCGTCTTCGGCTTCAAGGTCATCGGCTAGTTGCATAGATTGGGAACTAGCCAAACCCAAAAGGTCGGAAGCGGAGGTTCCTTCATCGTTGTCGTTGTCGTCGTAAGGACGGTCTTGTGAGCGATTTTTCGCATCCAACCAATCTTTGAAACACACGCACATTTCAAGTGTTTCGGGTTTTAGACTTGTTCTTCTATCGTCTAAACCCCTCCTGGATGCGCTGAAAGCTCGTTCGGAGGCAACGGAGGAAACTTGGATACCAAGAATGTCTCGTGCCATTTCCGCCAAAGTTGGATGCTTCATGCTTTGTTGTTTCCACCATGCAAGGAGGTCGAGGCTGTTTATCTCATCGTCGTCCATGCCCTTGGTGAAGTCGTAACTTAGGTACTGACAGGCTAAAGTCGTATCACCTAATCAAAAGTAATTCCTAAGTCCTCTAGCTAAAGTAGATAGGGAAGTAGGGTCGAATCCATAGGGAAACAATGTTCTTTTACTCCTAATCAATTATTATAATCTAAATTATCGAGTAACCAATTTGTATTGTGTGAATTATACTAATAATTAGACTAAGCAAATTAAACAAGGGAATAATCAATAATAAAAGGTCTAGGGTATAGGTTCACCGTACCAATAAATAATACTCCAGGGTAAAACATAACAATCAATCATCAATGCATAAATTAATCAGATTATAAAGGGCTTTTGCTACGTATTATAATCACAAAATTAATCTACCGGTATTAAATCACATCTCTCGAATCTTGACCTAACCATTTATAGATTAACATGCCTATTGAAACTAAGCCTAAACATTCTCATCTCTCGAATCTCGAATCAATATTGCATAACTCATACAATTAAACCTGGCCAAATCTAATTGCATAGCATTAAATCAATCAATAGGAAATCAATCAAGCATTAACAATCAACAATAATAATTTACCCATTCATATTATTTATGGATCCCCAAGAACCCTAGAAATAAACTACTCACACATAATAAAAACTAAATTAATCAAAGCAATTAAAACAAGCATGATAAAAACAATAATTGTTTAGGGGATTTTCCCCCGCCACGTGGACCAATCAGCACCTGCCACGTGTCAACCATGTGGGCTAATCAGGGGGCTGCCACGTGTCATACTCCAGGAGGTCCAACATGGACCAACCATGTCACGCCACGTGGCATCGAGAATTGCCAACCTGGAAAACGGCCAACGAGGCCCGAATCCCGAGGCAAGCCCAATCAGTCCTAGGTTTACTATTTAACCTAGTATTGGGCACGTACTTCGAGGCTATAAATACAGTAAACATATTCAGAATTAATTAATCATCTCACCAAGAAAGAAACCTAAACACACGTGCATACTAACTGCTAGACCAGACTTAGCGTTAATTGCACACCTCGATCACTCCTCCCCTTAGAGGAACCAAATCACTTTTACTTTCCGCACCTTTACTCCTTAAACACGTTCTAACTTGATCGTCGGAGGCGGAGCTCCCACCAATTTGGTTTCCGTTGTTTTGCAGGTACAGGCGCACGGATCTAGTCCCGGAATTGTAACTCTCCCGCAGGACATCAAAAAACCCCGAAACATTTTGGCGCCGTCTATGGGGAGAGTACTTTCGAGATGGAATCACAGTATGTACCAGTTCTAAGTGAGAAGTGTCCCATGGACGACCCCCTGGTTCAGTCGGACCAGGACACTGACAAAGAAATTGAAGTCGAGACTCACACGGCCTCTGACGGGACCCTAAGAGCTCGACGCACCCGTCCCACTGAAAGGAAGGAACGGGAAGACTGCCCGGCTGGATCAAGTAAACCAGCTGGCCCGCCGCTTGATCATCAACAGGTGGTCGAGGAATCTACCCCCATCACCAGAAACGAACTCATGACCTTCATGAATAGTTTCAAAGGGGAGATCCAGGAACTTATCAACAAAAGGACGATTGTTCCACCAAAGGAATAGTCGGCCAGAAGACCCTCCCAGTCTGGGAGGAAGAAGCCTGTAAAGGATCGGGAGGCGACTCCTTACCCTAGGCCTAAGGAGAGAGAGCCACCAGTGATCGATCTAACTAAGTACCGCTTCCGCTCACCAGGGAAGAGGAAGCCCATCCGTCATGTTCAGCCGGACGGGTCAAAGAAAACATACTCCGATGCTCGAATGTTACTCGAGCAGAAGAAGAATGACCGACTTTCAGAGTCGGCCTCCACGTCTGATTTTCAAGACAGTCTTCACAATACCTCCCCGAGGTATTCAAAATCACACTATGAGAGCCAGACGGCCGGAGCCTCCTCTCGTTCTAGTTCCCAGAAACATCATGCGGCCCCGTATGTGCCCCCTAGCCATACGTTCCGCAGTCCCAATACTTTATGAGCCTACTCCTTTTGGAGGACAGGCGGCAAGGAATGTCCAGCCTTTGCACTGGCAACTTAGGTTGCTCAAACTTGGGGAACAGCCCTCCGCCTTCTCCAAGTAAATAATAGAGGCCGCCCAGCCGGCCAAAGTAAAAAATATGTTGGTAGGGGCTTATGATGGCACTACCAACCCGAAGACCACTTGATGGCATACACCAACCTTATGTACCTCCAAGGGTTGGATGACGCCACATGGTGTAAGTGTTTCAC